TCTGTGAGGCGAAGGAGCCATAATTACAGAGTTTCCCTATGCAACTCAGTTTTCAAGGATGGGTAATCAAACACAGAAAAACTGAGATGCACAAAATGGTTGCATTCCAAATATGTCACACTAGAGGGTATTTTTGGAGCAAGAAATGAAGTTATTTTTTCATATCAAATTGATGGCTCATTAGTGGACTTCATTGTTACTTTCGTTCTGCATCTGCCATTTAAATTCTAACCTAAATATATAGAATTTTGTATTTAATGTAAGCTAGCATATATTCATTTATGAGTATTCTAGTTAGAAAAAGGTCTAAGCTGTACTAATTTTAAATATATATACATATACATGCATGAGTGCATATACACACAGATGCACAGACACACACACACACACAATTTCATGTTTAGAATGCCCATCTCCCTCAGAAGTATGCATGACATAGCCTTATAAGAACTTGCATTGAGAACTAAAATACTATTTTTTAAATCAATACTTTATTGTTTTTATTATACTAATTATAACTGTAAATCTTTTGCTGTATTTTAAATATATATTGTATATCATTACCTATAAATCAGTTGTATGAATGCACTGTTTTCTTCTACAGGGAGTCCTCCATCTAAAGTTTATGGCAATATTAGAGCAATAGCAAGCAGAGCAACAGAAAGATTTTAAGACCATGGCTTTTGAAGTCACACGCTTCTACACAAGATACTGGAAAACACTTGAAGAAAGCAGTGTCAAAATACAGATTACAGAAAAAGTGTGCTTTTCTTTAAAACCCAAAACAAACACATTGTGCTTCAGAAGCTCTGCTAAACCATTTTAAGCGGGTGGCATTTCAGCCAGACCAAAATTTGGAATATTTTCTTTGTCCAGAGTTTGGGCTGAAACAAAATTCAGAAGGATTTAAGGGTGAGTTGGGCAAGGCTGATATGTCGTGCCTCTTTTTTTCCTCCAGGCTTGTGGCAGACTACCTATTTTCCCAGTGTCCCTCTTGCCCTTCTTCCTGCTAGCTTCCAGTGGAAATACCCACCTGAAAAGCTCATTCCTCTGATCTTTGCACTTTGTTTCTAGTTGCCACCAGTATCCATGCCCCAAAACACTTCTTTCTGAATTAATTCATGCCTAGGTCACTCAAAACTAGCAGTTCTATGCATGGAATATTTTTCACATCCCTAGTAAACTTAGCAATTTTCAGTTCCAATACAACTGGCATTTAATAGAACTGCTACAGCAATATTCTCAAGCAAGTATCTTATCAAGCATTCTAAAATGAAGTTATGTCCAATAAAAATTGGTACATGAATTTCATTCTAGCTAATATTATGTCAGTTTTTGAATTGAATGGATACAAGGTTAACCAAATACAGCTGTGAACAGAATACTTTGCATAGTATGCTGCAAGTCATTATTGTAGACATGATATTCTTCCGATTAAAATCGGAATTCCGATTTTTTTGGGAATCCCCTGGGCCGGTGCGAGCAGAGCCCGGGCGGGCGGGCGGTGCGAGCGGAGCCCGGGCGGGCGGGCGGTGCGAGCGGAGCCCGGGCGGGCGGTGCGAGCGGAGCCCGGGCGGGCGGTGTGAGCGGAGGCCGCTGAGCGGCAGGAAAAGGGAGCTGGGCAGCGATTTCTTGGCGCGCGGTGGGGGGTCTCTTTTGGCCGGCCCCGATTTTTTTTTCAGAGGGGAATATCATGCCTGTTATTGGATGCATTGTATTTATCTCAGAAATTCCCAACTGTTTTAAAATGCTAAAATACAAAATGTAACAAAGATGACTGGGAAAGGGGCTATTCCACTAAAAAAAAAAAGCAGAATGGGGCTGCTCATTGTATTTAGCTGACAAATATATTTATGGTTAAAGTTTACTAGTAAACTAGCAAACAAGGATCTAACTACATCTATCCAGATGTTAAAATGAATTGATTAAATGTTTCCAATCATAAATATTTTTCCCTTTTTGGGGAACATTTCAGATGAAGGGGGGAGGAAGCTGTTACAATGTTGATAATCTCCCTTCCTGGAAGAAGAGAAAAATAAGATTTTTTCAATATTGTGACATTATAGAGGGAGATATGCAGATCCTAGAGTTATTTGCTTTTCAATGAGGGCCACCTGCCTTTCTAATTCTGCAGCATAGACAGAATGCAAACTAGACTTGAGAGGGCACCAAAGAAATCGAAAGCAAAAATGGAGGGGAAGGGAATCTTACACCATCTAATTAGTCTTGACTCCTGACAATTGCCTGAATGAGTCTTTGCTGTTTTGTTGGCAGACATTTTAAGAAGTAGCTTGACTTTTCTAGAGCTGTGAGAATGGTATTGACCCAGAGTTACCTATCTGCCTTTCTACCTAAAGCAGGACTAGAACTCGGTCTCTCCCTTATGTCTTTAACCATTACCCCAAACTATATCTCAGGACATGAATATCTATCCATTATTAAAGAACTTGCAGGATCTCTTCCTGTTAATGTGTAATTTTTAGTAATTTGGTATCAAAGCATTTATAGATCACAGCCCATTTTGTATTATTTCATGGCCCAAATGTGTGGACAATTTACAGCTTTTGGAATAACTGTTTTTTTTGTTTTTTGCTGCACGATTCTGCAAAAAGCTAACAAAAGATGTCCTACCCCATGAATGCACATGCTAATAAGGACTTGCTAATAGCAAACTAAAGATCCTTTTATAGTAAATTTTTAATTTTAGTACCACCAACCAGTCCTTAAACTATGTAAATTCCCAATAAATTATTCAAGTTTAATGCCAATTTGTAAATCAGACTGTTGAGTATTTGACTTATATATTATATGTATGGTGCCAGTTCTTAGTTACAGCCCCCCCCCCCCCCCATGTTTTGTAATAGCTTCAGAAATAATACAGGAAAAGCCCACTTTTCAGATTTAAGGGGACTCTTAAATTACAGGTGAAACTCGAAAAATTAGAATATCGTGCAAAAGTTTATTTATTTCAGTAATGCAGCTTAAAAGGTGAACCTAATATATGAGATAGACTCATTACATGCAAAGCAGGATAGTTCAAGCCGTGATGTGCTATAATTGAGATGATTATGGCTTACAGCTCATGAAAACCCCAAATCCATAATCTCAGAAAATTAGAATATTGTGAAAAGGTTCAATATTAGCTCAAAGTGTCCCACTCTAATCAGCTAATTAAGCCATAACACCTGCAGCCTTTAAATGGTCTCTGTCTGGTTCAGTAGGAATCACAATCATGGGAAAGACTGCTGACCTGACAATTGTGCAGAAAACCATCATTGACACCCTCCATAAGGAAGGAAAGCCTCAAAAGGTAATTGCAAAAGAAGTTGGGTGTTCCCAAAGTGCTGTATCAAAGCACATTAATAGAAAGTTATGTGGAAGGGAAAAGTGTGGAAGAGAAAGGTGCACAAGCAGCAGGGATGACTGCAGCCTGGAGAGGATTGTCAGGAAAAGGCCATTCAAAAGTGTTGGGGGGACTTTCACAAGGAGTGGACTGAGGCTGGAGTCAGTGCATCAAGAGCCACCACACACAGACGGATCCTGGACATGGGCTTTAAATGTCGTATTCCTCTTGTCAAGCCACTCCTGAACAACCAACAACATAAGAAGCATCTTACCTGGACTAAAGAAAAACAGAACTGGTCTGTTACTCAGTGGTCCAAAGTCCTCTTTTCTGATGAGAGCAACTTTTGCATCTCATTTGGAAACCAAGGACCCAGAGTCTGGAGGAAGAATGGAGAGGCACACACTGCAAGGTGCTTGAAGTCCAGTGTGAAGTTTTCACAGTCTGTGTTGATTTGGGGAGCCATGTCATCATCTGGTGTTGGTCCACTGTGCTTCATTAAGTCCAGGGTCAATGCTGCCATCTATCAGGAGATTTTGGAGCACTTCATGCTTCCTTCCGCAGACGAGCTGTATGGGGATGCTGACTTCATTTTCCAGCAGGACTTGGCACCTGCCCACACTGCCAAAAGCACCAAAACCTGGTTCAATGACTATGGGATTACTGTGCTTGATTGGCCAGCAAACTCGCCTGACCTGCACCCCATAGAGAATCTACGGGGCATTGCCAAGAGAAAGATGAGAGACATGAGACCGAACAATGCAGAAGAGCTGAAGGCCGCTATTGAAGCATCCTGGTCTTCCATAACACCTCAGCAGTGCCACAGGCTGATATCTTCCATAACATGCCGCATTGAAACAGTAATTGCTGCAAAAGGGGCCCAAATCAAGTACTGAGTACATATGCATGCTTATACTTTTCAGAGGTCTGAGATTGTGGATTTGGGGTTTTCATGAGCTGTAAGCCATAATAATCACAATTATGACAAATCACGGCTTGAACTATCTTGCTTTGCATGTAATGAGTCTATCTCATATATTAGTTTCACCTTTTAAGTTGCATTACTGAAATAAATGAACTTTTGCACAATATTCTAATTTTTCGAGTTTCACCTGTATATATGAGGCTCTTAATATTGTTTTTAAAAATCCTAAGATTCTGTGCTGAAATAGGCATAGACAAGTACATATATTCAATCCTGAATTCATTATTCCCTGATGTTTACAGTAAATGATATCTTTCAGGTGGAACTTTCTCTTATATGTGCAATGAGTCAAGATTGCAAAATTAGAAAAAATGCTATACTTAAAATAAAATTGGTGTTACCATGGAACTAAGAATAAAACTGGCCAATTCTCCCCATAATGGTGCCAAAAATTTCCATAAAATTACAGTTTAATGTGTCCTAAACTTACTGTTCCTATTCACTAATACAGGATAATTAACATGTCCACAAAAGAAAATTTACTTTGGGAACTGGTTATCCTTATAAACTTTGAATCTGATGTTACTTGATGTTAAATGAACTGTCACTGAGAAAAATGGGCAAATATTGTTACAGGTATTTAATTATACATAAAAGCATCAAATAATTTTAGTACAATCAGATCTGAAATTCAGAATATTTTTTTTCAACTGAAACTTTAACACCATGCAGTAAAGTTCAAATAGTTTATTTTTATTCATACATTATGAAGGTTCCTATAGTTCCAACAATGTATGGTATTAGCATGCAGAGGAAAAATCTAAACATTCAACATAACCCTTTTTTTTTTTGCGCACAACCTAAAAAAGCTCATTCCCCCAGTACGAAAGTAACATTAGCACTATTTTCTATTATGCCAGGAAGGATATGCCCAAGCAATTAAGAAATAAAAAGCAATTGCTAAAATATTTGTAACAAATATTTATGTACAAAAAAATTCACAAAAGACTAGTTCCCCCTGAAGCAGAGCACATGGCAGTTGACAATGGAACAAATACAACCACTGGCTGGGATTATAATCCACATACTGATCCAAAGGAAGAAAGATACATGTAGTGGAGATTTTTCTGTTTTAACATTTACCAAAAGTTTGGCAACATCTTTTTTAAATTATGCAAATCATGTAAACAAGCGGAACATTTCAAATCGATCTACATGCAAAACTTCATGTCATGCAAGGACACCAAGCACCTGGATTTCTCACAGAGCCCATAATGTGCAGCACTCAATCGAAGGAACAGCTATGGCTGGCTGGGAGGCAATCGATTTTAAGTTTGGAACAACCTGCCTTTCCACTGCGGATTATAAAACATTTTAAATAGCAAAAATTGCTAGAGAAAAGGGCGTGCTATCCTAAAAATCTAACAAATTTCTTCTAGCCAATAGTACCATTGCAGAAAAAGAATGATATAAAGTTGTATAACATGCCTTGCTACTTTTATATCACACATACATAAAGTTACTGTCAATACAAGTCATGATAAAAACAAATTTAGAAAAAAGAACTCTCCAACTGAAGATCAGGTTAAAAAAAAAAAGAAAATGTGAACCTTACCCCTTTTCCTATGGCAGAGGTTAATGTTTCTCCTGTAATAAACCTATATACACATATATAAAATATTACCAGGTTTTATGCAACTTAAATTAGTATATTAAATGCTTTAGAGAAACTATATAGTTGGAAAATATTTTAATGGCATGAGAGGTTTGTAATCTCACTGCACGAGGTATCCTAGGAAATGATTCCTAAATTCTTTTGTATTAAGATTAGTACTGAAAAACAAGTATGTTTACAACTGTTTTATCTAAATGGCAAGAGCCAATGTTTACTAAGTTTATTTTATGTAGTTGTGTTAAGTGAAAAAATGAAATGATCATAAGCATATTTTTGCATATACAACCTAGTTCTTGGCAATTAAATTTTTATAACATGCCTCACTATTTTAATACCCATAAATAGTATGTGTACGTACACATACATGCACATACTATTAAATAGTGTACATATATACACAAACTAATCTATATTCCTGTCATACAAAAATGTAATTAAGATAAATTAACAGGAAATGATGCTATTTCAGCCAGTCAATATATAAACATCTGAAACAGTCACAGGAAAAAGTTGACCTAACATCCATTAAAACATTATATTCTTCTAAAGTATATCTGCCTGTACGTGTATATCTGTGTGACATAAAAGTAAAGATGTATATTTATATGTGTTGTACTATATAATAATCTGCTTGGCACTTTTGTACTCTAATTTTATGCCTAAATCAAGTATATTAAATTAAAGCTTGCCTAACTACTAAATAGAAAGCACAACATATATATATCTATATATAAATACACACACACATATATATAGATAGATATTTTCTTGTTATAAAAGTTGAGAAAAATAAATTAAAAAGCCAACCCCCTTCCCTTTCTCCACCACACTGATATGCTCTTTCCATTTTGCTGTCCTTCAGACTTTTAAAGTGCTACACTTGCGTTATTGAGAGAATGAAAGTTCAACAACACTTAGTTGGCTTCATGAGGCTCATGTTGGAAAATGTGGTTTCACAGAGAAAAATACTTCCATTTAAATACACAGAGAGCATTGCTGGACGTCTTGAGCAGATCTTCAGAGATGGAGAAGAAAGCAAAAGTGTTGGGTAGTATCATAAAGAGTCACACATCTACCACCATCTTTTTGTGAATATCTAGGCCTCCTACAACCTGAAATATTAATAAAAATACTGTGAGAATTAAAAAGACATGAATAATCAGATTTAAAATAATAATAAATGAGTAGCATAAGTGTTAGATACAATTGATGTAATTGGCCTAGAATCCAATTATATAATAGGGAAAAAGGAACTATAGTCCTGGGTTTCTTTCAATTCTTCCTAATCAACCTCCTTATTTTGAACTGGGGATGGGTGGGTGTTGAAAAAAATGTTTTAGAATACTTATATGCATAATCGTTATGAAGCACACACCTTATAATGACACATATAAGTGCACATGCCAAATAAAGGTGACATAGCAGTAACATTCGTTGCTGAATAAACTACTGGATATCTGAAAATACTAACTGCAATGATAGGGAAAAATACACTTACAGCACAGAACTCTTCAAAGGATATTCTTCCATCACCATCTTTATCTGCATTTATTATGGTTTTGTCTACAATTTGCTGCAACTGGGTATCTTTGAGATTGTTCCCAACCATCATTTTCAAAACCTGGAAAAGCTCCCCATTGGAAATATAACCATCTTTGTCCATGTCATAGATGCGAAAGGCAACTATCAAGGGAAAAAATACAGTTCTGAATAAGACTTTTTAAGAGACTGGGAAAGCTGAGGATATGGCTTTTGAATGTTTATTTTAACAGAAGCAATTCAATTCAGCTACTAAGAGAACTTGGAAAAAGTTTCTAAAGAGATTTTGCCTTAGTGAATCAGTATAACTCAGCCTTGGAAATTCTTATGTTTTTCAAAATTCAATACTTATCATAGCATGAAAGAAATCTTAACTGAAATCTGGGTCATTTTTGCTTTTTTGGTCCTATCAATTATCTGTGACAAACTTGGGTAGAAAAGGGTTTTCTATTTATAACACCTTGTCAAGCCTGTTTTCCCATTCTTTCATACTCAACTCTTCGTCCATTCTGACTACTACCTGCAATAGAACTACTGGCTCAAGGTTGACTCAGCCTTCCATCCTTCTGAGGTGGGTAAAATGAGGACCAAATTGTTGGGGGCCATATGCTGACTCTGTAAATCGCTTAGAGAGGGTTGTAAGAGAAAACTTTGGTGGGCCGCAGAGAAATCTCATCCCCAGAGCACCCCCACAAAACAATTAATCCATGCTGCCTAGAAACACAAGGCTGTGCCGCCCACATGGCCCACAGCAACCCTCCCCGCCCACTCCTTATCCGGTAAACTTGCCTGCTAAATTGCTATTTTTCCTTCTTCCGACCATCATCTGTTCTCTTGTGCCCGGAGATTTAGATTAGCTAGGAAGCAGGAAATGGTTGGATTTCTTGCTTTCTAGCTAGTTTTTAGATCTTCGGCTCAGCCAAACCTCCCTTAGGACTGAAAGTTTGCTTGCAAGCGAATTCAGTGCAGGCTCACGGCAAACAAATTTGAGAGACTGAGCAAGCCGATGGCAGATAGATCACTGAATGATTTTGTGAGCAACTCAATCTGCCTGCTTTGCCTGATTTTGGGTAAAAGTTGCTCTTTTTTAAATAAAAAATTCAATATTTACATGCATGGTGTGTTGTGAGTTAATTTTGTGAGTTTGCTTGCAAGCAAATTTTATGTGACAAATTGAGCTAGCCAAAGGCAGATAGATAGATCTCTGAATGAATCGGTGATTCTGTGAGCAACTCAATCTGCCTGCTTTGCCTGGTTTTGGGTAAAAGTTGCTCCCTTTTATAAAAAATTCAATATTTATATAAATGTTTATATTTACATACAAGCCATGCCCAGCCAGTCACATGACCAAGCCACACCCACAAATTAGGCCACACCCACAGAACTGGTTAGTGGTCCCTGGGATCTAAAATTATGAGTTTCTGGTCCCTGAGGTCCAAAAGGTTGGCAACCCCTGCTGTAGAGTGATATATAAGTCTAACTGCTATTGCTACTGTGATAAAACTACCTGTGCAGATATGCCATGTGTGGTCATGTGTGATTCAGCAGCAGTCCCCAACCTTTGTGGCTTGGTGGCCGGGTTGGGGGGTGGGGGGAACCGGGCCATACGTTGCCTGCCACTTGCCTGAATTGAGCTGCGTGGATGCATGCTGGCCCACTGCTCGTGTGTCCCGGTTCCAAATAGGCCACGGCTCAACAGTGGGCCACTTAGGGACCCGTTCTTAGGAATAGCTTAGGGAATTAGCAGCTTAAATGGGGTGTTGGTACTTACCTGACATACCCTTTTTCTGTGAGCTGTGAAGAGCATCCATTGTTTGGGATGATGCTTTTGTTGCTCGTCTGATAGGCTGGGCTTTCAGAGGACGCTCCTCCTCCTCCACGGGACTCCTCCCTAGCATCCCCAGTTTTGGCAAAGTCGAAGTGATGAAATATTTCTTCTCCTTCACCCTTTCTAATACTTGGCTGGAATAGCATCCCACGAGACGAATAAGGGTGGGGATGGATGCTCTTCACAGCTCACAGAGAAAGGGCGTGTCAGGTAAGTACCAATGCCCCTTCTCCAGATGAGCTGTTCAGAGCATCCATTGTTTGGGACATACCAAAGCTTGGAGTGTCCTACGGGAGGGATTCCGTCTGGTTCGGATTCCCCTTTTTCTTGGTCCCTGTGGACCCTTTGTAACACTCTCCTGTCAAAGGCAGCCTCTGTAGAGGCAAAGACATCATTCTAATAGTTTCTAAATAAAAGGCGATGGTGAGGCCCATGTTGTCACCTTGTAAATTTCCTCTATTAGCACTTGTGGACCATGTTGTCAACAACGCAGCGCTCCAGGTCGAATGAGCAGTGATGCCCCTGGGTACAGGAAGAGACTGTGTCTCATAGGACTTGGGAATTGTGCTCTCAGCCACTTACTGGTCATTGAGGAAGAGGTCTTGCACCCAATGGTGGGTGGTTGAAAAGAAACCAAGAGAACCTTCGTTTCCTAACACACATCGTGCGGTTGAAATATATGCAGAAAGCTCACCTTACATCTAGATTGTGGCATTGTCGTGCCAGATTTTATGTTGGTTTCAGACAAACGTATGGGAGTATCAGTTCCTATGGTCTGTGGAAACCCAAAATTATCTATGGGTGAAAGATGGATCTGGACTAAGGACCACTTTGTCTGTGTGAAAAATACAGAGCTCTTGTCTAACTGACAAGACTACTAGATCCAAGATGTAACTGGCCGATGTAATGGCAACCAAGAGAATCACCTTGTACGTTAGGAATGGAGACTCATGGTCTACATGGGCTCAAAGGGAGTTTTCTTGAGTGCGGTAAGGACCTTGTTAAGGTCCCACGTGTGATATCAATGCACTACAGGAGGTGATAAGATTGTAGCCCCGCACAAGAAACTTGCATATGCATGGTTGATGAGAAATGGACTGCAAGTCTCTCCTAGTGATGACCGATGCTAAGGCCGCCCCTTTGCCTGTTTATATGAACAAGATAATAATGAAATGTCATTTAAATAACACCGTCGTCTAACAGGTGTTCCCCTGAGATGGACAGCCAGAGCCATCAGAACCTTCGTAAGAACCTTGGGCAGATGACAACCCAAAGGACAGTGCAACGTATTCAAAACGCTGAGTATTATAACAAAAACTAAGAAGTTTGCTATGTGAAGATCTAATTGGAATGTGGGGAAGGGCCTCCATTAAGTCAATGGAATGTAGAAAGCCGCCCCTTCTGAAGCTCAGAAATATGGAGTTCAGTATACTCATCTTAAGCCTCCTATAAACTAGGGACCGATTAGGTCATTTTAAAACTATAATTGCCCCTGCTGATCCGGTGCCACAGGTCGGTTGCCTGGATCTCCAATAAATGAACAATAGCTGTCTCCATCATGCTCCCTTTAACAGGATCCCCCGAGAGAGGGCAAGTAATGCAAAGGTTCCGGGGAGAGGATGGAAATTCTATAGCCAGGCCTGATCTTCTAATATCTCTAACCCAGGAAACAGAGGTAGAGGCATCCCATCTGTCCGTGAAAGGCTTGAGCCTCCCACCAATAGGGGCACAGTCGTGAGACCTATGTTGTGCCTCGGAGACCTCTATTTCATGTTCCTCAAGAGATTCTTTTGGTCTGCCCTCCACTTCAGTATCTATCTTCAGATCGGAAACTATCCAACTGTTGGTGATTCATGCGTCCAGACGGTCCCTGGAGTCTAGAGAGAAAAAGTCCCTGGTAGAGGGAACGAAGGAACCCTCCAAAAAGATGGGAAGGACTATTTTGGGGTCTATGAAAAGAGAGGAACTTATTTTCTGCTTCTAGTCTCTATCAGAGAGAGGTCAGGGGCACCACCAACCAAATTATCTCCCTATATTGGGGAGGAAGCAAGCTTCCATTAGTTGTGTGATATCTGCTTGCCAATGTCTGAGCCATAGCAGAAGGCGAGGAGAGATCTGAGATGCCCTAGCTCGAGCAGATAATTTAATAGAGTTTTGCGGTGTCCTTGTGTGCCCTGATACTGGAATTTGAGATAATCTCCCTCAGATGGCGGAGCTACCTGAGAGGCGATCTAGTAAAAAAAAAGGGGGGGGGATGTGGCTGACTCCGCTCTTATGGCCCCCACATCAGATCGACATGCCCTACATGGAGACAACTCGACCCTGTATATCCTTTAACTTGACAGCCTCTTCTGCTTCCATTGGAATTGCAGAGGAGGAGGATAATTGCCATTATTGTTTTATCTACTATCGTGGTGATGAGAAATTTAGCAGAATCAGAAAACCAAATTAAAATTTTTCTATCATATCCTGTAAGAGGGGTATACGCCACTGAAGAGACCCCTTGTTTCTGGACAAGGTCCAAGAACCTCTGTGGGACAGTTATGACTTCCTCTTACATTATTGGTTGGGAAAAGATTAAATCGTCTGACCCCCCTTACAGTAACGATTGTTGGGCCGAGGGGAATGGAATATCAAGGCAGGCAGTAGTTTTTTGTTTTTTGAAGCAACAGACTTGAAGAAAGTCTGAGGGCAAAACAGACCTGAAGGTTGGTGGTCTGGCTTAATGCCTTCAATATCTGACATGCCCCCCTTTTTTAGGGGATCCGCCTCTGACAGATTTTGGTCACTGTCGTGAATAGACTCTTCCTCAACCTGTTCCATCTGGTCTCTAGTTCTCCCTCATCCTGTGAATGTGTAACTGGATTATATAATACTCCCCTGAAGGAGGTAACTGATGGTAATGAAGGTCCGTTCTGCATAGTAACTAAATCGAGTGAGAACCGAGGTAAGATTGTGGAGGCTGCCTAGCCATCAACTTCTACTGTACCCCAGCTGCAATGCCTCTTCAAGTCTTCATATCCCTCCAGGCCTTCAATTTGTCAGGGATATCCTCTGGGAGGAGGAACTCTGGCGTGGTCCCACAATTGTCTGTCAGGCAAGTAGCGTTGCTGAAGGCCTGGGTTGAACCGGTCCCTCTGAGGCTCTCCTGGATGGCGTTGAGAGATCCAGGGATGGAGGCAAGGTGAAATATGGAACACTTCAGAAATTTGCATGTCATCCTTGTGCAGGGGCCATGCTAATCTTCTCTGTATCATTCCAATTTTAGTATATGTGCTGCCGAAGCAAGCACTCTGGAACTGGGACCAGCCTGGCTGGGGAAGAGGACTGAGACTTCTGTTCAACCTCCCTCATACATTTTTTTAAAAATATGCTTATCTAACGCATTTTGGCATCTCTTGGCATCCTTTGTTGCCTTAGAGGTCTCTCTAGGACGTTTTGACCTACTTTGAGTTGGTTTATTGTCCTCTGGGGGGATTTTTGGTTGCCCTTGAAGATTCTGACCTAAAGCCCATGAGGTGAGATATTTATATCTATATATCTATATGTGTATGCGATATTAATGGACCGTTGACTGGTCCAGAGGCCTGATGTATACAGAGGCAGGGAATTCTCTTGATATTTGCTCCCCTCATTTTTTTGGTAAATTCAATTTGTTATTATGTTATTATTCATAATAATATTGATATCATTAATATTATATTATTGATAATATTTTGTTATATCTGTGTACAGCTACTAACATAAATTGTTGTGCTGTTACCAAACTCATAATTAGATGACTGAATATGGAATCAAATTGTGAAGCCAAATAGAGAACACCTTTCAGGACCTGTATTGCAATTGGGTGATCCTGCAGTCACTGGCCCTCAACAGCTTCCTGCCCAGGCGGACACAGGCCTTGGCGCTCGCTGTTACTGTGCTGCTATATTCTATGAGGGCTGCCAACTTAAAAAGGAAGCCCGATAGTCAACCTCAGAAAGAGGTCCGCAATCGGCATAAGTGTCCCCTGGACCCTCACGGAGAGATCCTTGTGAGGGGAAGTGGCCTCTCAACAGATAATGCCATGGAATTCTTATAAACAAAATGATGCTGGCGTTGTTTTAGTCGTCAAGATGTAGCATCAACCATCACCTCTTATTGTAAGCCAATGCGAATCTGACTAGAATTTGAGCAGAAGTCTGAGTCCTCTGGCTCCACCTGATCAATAGCCCTTGCTTCTTCTATATACCTTGCGGGAGTATATCTGAAACTACAGAATCTCCTGTGGAGAGATACCTGAGGGTAAGGATGCTCTGTCCTGCTTAGTGACTGGAGTTATAGGGAATTCCAATCAGAAGGAGCACTCTGTTGTTGGCCAGAGCAGTACACACACACACACACACACACACACATATATATATTAGGGTGATTTCCCCCCGGGTTCCAAGAAGGAGACCCCTGCTTGGGGAAAGAAAAGCCTCTCACAGTTCCAGAAATAAAATGAAGATCACTACCACATGGTTAGTGAGTCTGCATGGGCGCCAGCCGTTATCTCTTTAGGCACGTAATGAGTTAAATCGGCTCAGCAGCACTTCCACGCCTTGTGGGGAGTCGATACTGCAGTTTCTCCTTGAATAAAAAGGCACGGTGGGGCAGATGGGCGCTGATGCCCCCACCCCAGATGGTGTTCCCAGGGGAGAGAAAGAAGCCTTGGACCGTTTTAAAATGGAGCTTCTCCCATCGGGCGCGGGTGGCACTATCGTAGCGGCTTGGCTTGAAAAGATCGTAATGGTATGGGCTAAGAAATGTGAGTTGTTATCCATGCGGCTGAGGCATTATCGCCTCTGATCGTCCTGGGGGCAAGAGATCATTATCTGAAGCTACGGTGAGCTCCGCGGCTCGAGTTATATGCCGTAGGGAGCTGCTTGACTCACTGAAACTAAAAGCCTTAAAGGATTTGTTTAGAGTTTAAAAGCAAACCTTTTTGTTGTCTCCTTTTGAAGCCTTTGCTATTCCGGCCAAGGGAAAGGAAATTAAGCTGCCTATATCCACGAAGGCTGAGCAAAAACTGGGGACGCTAGGGAGGAGTCCTGTGTAGGAGGAGCGTCCTCTCAATTAAAGCCCAGCCTATCAGACGAGCAACAGAAGCATCATCCCAAACAATGGATGCTCTGAACAGCTCATCTGGAGAAATTCCTAGATATTTCTTAACATAGTAGAAATCAGCAAGTGAGGTCATTAATTAAATAAGATTGTTCATGTGTTCCAAACAACACTTTGTATGTTCCAAAACTGAAGTATGATTTTGAATATCACAACAGAGGATGTTTTGAAATTTCAGTCAGAATAACAGATGGAAGGGATCTTTGAGATCTTCCAGTCCAACCCCTGCAGAAGCAGGAGATCCTACACCGTTCTGAGCAAATAGCTACCCAATCTCTTCTTAAAAACTTCCAGTGATGGAGCCCCCCAACTTCTGGAGGCATCCTGTTCCACTAGTTATTTGCTCTCACTGTCAAGAAATTTCTTCTTAATTCTAGGTTGCTAAAACTAAACCAATAATAGTTAGTAATCTCATAGTCTGATATCACTATACAAATAACCAACAGCTACTTTATTTTACATTTTATTTTATATAAATCCCTACTTCCATGGGATGTATATAAATTATGATGTAATTTGCACCATCTAAAGCATACTTTGTATATCTTGTCAAATTCTCATTGCTAAAACTCAGCAAGAATAGTTACATCTATGGAACTGTATAATTTCCTCCTATATGTTATTGCTAAGGAAGAAGTTAAAAAAAAATTCTATGCACTATTTCTTAGCAAATATCTCACTGTTCAAAGTACCAAAAGGAAAAAAGAGGGATGGAGAAGTACTAGCATAGCTATTTTTATGTAAAAGCTGTTTACTTCACCTCAGAAATACAAAAATCATGTTGATGAATCTTCCAATTGTTATCTAACCCAAGGTATATTACAATTTATAATGGCTTATAAAGTAAGATTAAGTGAGGAAAGAACAGAAAAAACAATTTTCTAATAGAGCTTGTAGTTAACAAAATATAATATACTTACACCTCAACTTCTGCTCCTTGTCACCTTTGACACTGAACTGGGAGACTCCTTCTATAAATTCTACAGAATACAGGTATACAGAGAAGTTAAAAAATATTGTATACTTCCCAAACTTTGGAAAATACCCTCAAATTTTCTTCCATAGCAATCTTAAAAGTAGTAAGTTTGATTTATTGTTTTTATGACCCTGAGCTAGGTATTATGTACTTACATTTTCATATTTGACAAGTTCTTGGGACGCTCAGAAGACACATGAAAATGCAGCTTTTAAAGATAATTGTTGACTTACAACCATTCTTTCAGCAACTCTTTGAAATTATGATGGTAGTGGACCAAGAGACTTATGACCCATGTGCAAAAAGTTACAATCATTGTACATCAACCACCAATTATCATGCAACAATTCAGATCCTTTGCAGCCCGCCTCCACTTTCAACCATAGGGATACTGGAACTTTCTTCACCTGCCTATTTCATTGCTCACTTGGCCCAGAAGGCAAACAAGGCTACTATGACCTGAAAAGATTCACCGCCCACCCGGTTTGTCAGCTCAAGCAAAGCCTTCCTGAGTCTGGGCAGCTTTGTTTTTGCTGACAGGCTGGAAGGAGATGAGGCTTTCCAGGCCTAGGCAGCTTTGCTCGGGTTGATGGCTGGGTGAGCAGCTGAGGCTTCCATGGGCAACTCTGGTGTTTACATGGGATTTCATCTGCTTAACAACTGCAAAATCATTTAATAGTCATAACCAGGTATACCAGGATTGCAGGCATGTGATGTCTTGCTAAATGACTACTTCACTCAGTAACCAAGATTCTGATCACAACTGTATTCTGATTTCAACTATAAGTTGAAAACTAACTTATTTAATTGTTAAAAGTGTCATATAGTTGGATGTAGGTGTAATTAATGTTTTTGGTGTTGTTTCTCCCTGTAAGTGTTAAGGGGTCTTAAAACAATGCAACAGAATGCTTTAATTTTCATCTTCCTATGGCTCTCCAGAATTCAAGAGTCAAGGGATTCTGTGGAGTCAGCAATGGTTGAAAGGGAATGAATACAAAAACATAATCTCCTTGCATTTTAACCATATCAAACATCCAACTGGCTATTGGCTATCATTTACATTTTAAACGCAAGTATCTAGAGCCAACCAAAACCAGCTATGGGACATATAAAATAATGGTCTAATTACTGACAGAAGAAATCTTTGAATTAGGACCTAAACAGTGCCGTTCTGAAAAACCACTATAATTAGGCAGAAAGATGAAAATATGAAATGGAAAGTCAGGACACTTTATGATCTGTATTAAAGAACTGCAATCTGCTCAAAAATTATGTCAGTTGATCAGAATAGAGATACTCCTTTTTTAAGCAACTGCTTTGCTTTCACAGTTATGACAGTGATGAAAAAGTAACTTTATGACCAACCCTCACATTAATGACCTATGCAGGGCTGTAAAGCAAAAGAAAGCTGAAGTAAGATCATAAGCAGTTGCAGTTTCTCTTAGCAACTCCTTTACTTAATGAATTTGTTGCCAGTCCCAGTTGCGGTCACTAAATGAGGACTAATTGTTGTAACAAGTTTGATGCTCCAAGGTCCAATGATTAATCCTAGATGACAGTGAAAACTGGTGGCAGTTTTACCTCAAAGATTTTGAGACAGAGGCAGGGAGATTCCTGATTTGGGCAATCTTGGTGTGTGCAAGCTTGCTTGAGAACTAAGTTTCAGAAAATGCCTTCATAAATCTATCTAAAATGAAACTCCAAGCATAAAGGAAGACCTAAAGTAGACTGAATAATCCTCTTCAGAAAAAGGAGCAACAATCCAGCAGAGATGGAAAAGATTGGCATGCCTTAGGAACTGTAATTGTTGGAAATATTATTGGGAAGGCCTAAATCCTTATTCATTTTGGCTGGACCAAACCTGAGTGGGGAAGAATTTTTTAGTCTAAATGAAGGTTGACATCATTTATGCCCCAATTCTTCCAGTGCCAACAGTGTGATTGAGATTTTGGGATTTTCTGGTGAAAACAGAAAGTTCCAACATGCTCAAGGTTCCCATGCAATTTGTAGGAGATGAGTTCTTGAAAAAGTCAAAGAGATTTGCAGGTTTGGAATCTGCCATTCTAAAATATTGCCTCCAAAGAGGGGCCTGGCAAATGGGATGAATCATTGTGATGAGCTGGTTATGTTCAACAACATCTGCAAAAAATTATTTGTTCTTTACTACCTCTTTCACCACTTTGAGCATCAAGGGAGAGTTCTGGCTCTTGCTCTTCTGGTGGCCTCAATCATTGTTAACTGATGTTGTTGTAGTATGTCTTTGATATTGTTTCTCCCTCTTCCTATGTTTTTTGACCTACTCCTCTTTTTGTATATGCTTTGTAAAGTATGGAAGCCACAACAAAAATGTATGGCATCTTTCTTTCAGGAGCTCAAGATGGCATATATAGCATTTCATCCAATTTCTCCCAACAATACTGTGGGTTCAATTTACAACCATAATTGGCATCAGAACTTCCATCATTAAGTGATACAGTTTTTAAATGAGTTGTGCCCTGTGAGGGTTCTTGGTGTTCCAAAGACTAGACACTCTAGAGTGTAGCAAATGTCATGTTCATTAAGTGACTCACATGGTTTTAAACAAATCCAGCTTCTCCCATTGACTTTGCCAGTCAGAAGTCCACTGAGAAATTGTAAATGGCTATCACATAAACCCCCCAAGCTGAAACTGTTGTAAATACATGCTGGCTGCCAAGTATCTGAATTTTGAACAAGTGACTGCAGGACACAAGGATTGCTGTAAGTCACTTTCTTTGGTGCCCTCATAACTGAACTATTTTTAAACGAATAGTCATTGAGGATTATCTGTATAAATATTCTAAGTGATACAAGGAACTTCCATAGTAGGGATGGAATAAAATTTGTGTCCCTCTAACCCAATTACAACATTTTAACTGTCACATCACATTAGGGCTATATGGAGATGCACCTAAAACCAAGCCTGGAATTTCTGGGCTGCAAATAAGCTCCGTGTAAGTACATATATTGGAATCATAGAGACCTGATAAAAAGTATTGAATGTGGAGGCTTAAAATCCTGTTTCTTTAGGATGATTATTTAAATATGCTCCTAAAAATACACCCTGGAGACTTTTATTTTACTTTTTGATACATTTTAATTTTTCAAATTCTGAAGTATTATGACTATCTCCAAGATCATTTCTTTTCACACTAACCCAACACAGCATTAAAACTTTGCATGGCTTTTTTTGTAATCTCTGTGCCATCTGAAATGATATCAGGGATAAGTAGGGTTTTCAGCTGTGGTACAACTGTCCAAGAGACTAATTTCTAGATGGGTTAACCTATGGTGATTAGAACTTTTAAAAATTGAATCAAATGCGGTGTTTCCACTGAAGGAATTGCAGGACCATTTCTTCCTTTCTCCAAACAGATTTTCAATTACCAAATTGTTAAATGCTTTTCAATATTTCAGAGAAACTATTTATTAAGCATTATAAATCTTTCCTAGCTCATTATACAAAACATTTCTTAACTGGAAAGCTACATTATGACATAAAACATGAATAACTGAAGCTTATAACTAATTTAGAAAAACTAAAAAAAATCTGCATCTTATTACATTAGGTAAAAGTTGACAGTTTGAATATGTATGTTTAACAAATTAAACTTTTCTTACCTTTGAAGTCTACTTCTCCATTTCCATCAGTATCAAATATATCTATTACTCGTTGTACCAAGGGATTCTGTTGTAACTCAGGCAAAGACATAAATTCTTCCACACTTAAAGAACCAGAGTTATCTAAATCAAGCTTCTTAAATCTCTTCCCCAATCGTTTAATCTCATCTGCATCAACTGGCAAAGGGGGATGGGGAAGACAGAGAAACATGAAATCCCAAATGGAATATATAATAGTTCTTTCTTCTAATACAATTTCTTGTTCAGATCCAAAAACAATGACTATTTTAGAATGTATATATCCCCCTGCTCTTATACACAAACAGCTTTTAAATGTAATAAATTAAAATGGATTACCTTTTACAGGACGGGCCATTGCACATTTTACTTTACAGCTCTATAACCTAATATACGCTGACTCAAGTGTTCAGAGGACTAACAGTGCTTAGTTAACTTCAGCCTTATGTTTACAAGCATCTGTCAGATACAAATCTCCTTTTAATTATCTAACCACGTCAGTTATCTTTTAAATAGGAGGTAATGAGATGAGGTCAGCTGCAATGCCTGCAAAAATGAGTTTATTTAAATCTTTAGTTTTAACCCCTCATGAAACTGAACTGGTGTTGATCAAATATTAAATTTATAACACTATAAAGAAATTATCAAAGGAAATAATTAAATATGCTATGTAAATTTTAGTCAATTCTTGATGTAATGGAGCACTTTCAGAAGGTTGCATGCATGTGTCATAAGTTGAGGACTACCTATACAGCAAATTGGAGAACAATTCAAAGTTAACATTTTTTCTATGCCACCAGCAATCTTGATCAAAACTTTGTTTTGTATTAAGTACCCATTGGATTATGAACACAAGGTTACATAATACAGTTTTTAAGTATATATTAGCATCTTATAACATCCATTTTTTTCTCCCCCAAAGAGGGCATAATATAGTAAAACACTTTCTGTGAAGATGACAATATGGAACTCTGAAAAATAAGAGTTCTCATCTAATTATACAATAGCCTTCTGGAGTAGGGGAAAAAGTTGTGCTGTCTCATTCCAATTTGGGAGCAAAAAGAAACAAAACCATACTGGGACTATTAGCATTTGTGCAAAACAAATTTGAAATCATATTAAAAGTAGTACTATCAATTTTCAAATATCATGCACTGAGATTCAATCTGTCTGATCACATTATTGCCTGGATGCTCGGAACAGCACACTAGAGAAACATCCATTAACTGTTGAACATATACTTATCAATCCTGAAAGCATGTTCTTCCAATATGATTTCAGGAACATCATATACATAACAAAATTTTAATTCTAGTGTACAATTAGAATTTACTAGAAAAAAATTCTTTAGAATTTTTTTTGAATGCAATATTGTTAATATAATGTTTAGCAAACTGAGAAAAAAATCAAAAGACTTAGGACTTGGGGATTCCCTTAATCATAAAGCAGAAAGTTATCAATGCATCTGGTTCATCCTGCGAAGAACATGACTGGATGAAATTGCTCCCACAAGGCCTCTTTTCAGTTATCAATCCCTAATAATTTTGAAGAGTATTGGGAGATAAAATAAATGAAAAGTCAGTTTGACCAAGCAACAGTTCAAGAAGATTTTGGGATTTCACAGTAGTGATAAATGCAACTATTGGCTTTGCTATATCTGCAGATTCTAATCTAATCTAATCTAAATATAATCTGTAGCATTTTTAGGGTTTGGTTGAGTGGGATCCAGAGTAGCTAGATGTTTTTGCTTATTTTATTACAGATAAAGTCACTTCCATTAGCTCAAATCCAAACATCAATTGGACAGAACCATATGAAATGCCTAAATTCACTCATTCCTTCATGAACTTTCATTTCATTATGACTTTGGATTCTTTATAAAATGATTCCTCGTACTTGCTACAGAACACAGCATTCCTCATACTTTGTAGCAGGGCTCCTCGAGAGAATATGGGAAGCCTGCAAGGAGTCACAAATGGCAATCCCATTACTTTGGTTCGCTGCAATATCATAACTGTGAGCTGAGCATTCATGTAGAATACATACCTATACTCCATGTGGAGTTATTTTTTAAGACAATGCAGAAATTTAAATTGGTAGAAAATTTGATGTCCAGGAAGTTAACAGAGAAAATGTGTTACTTTGTATTGCACTCACTGCCTTAGTTGCCAGTAGATTTCTGGCCAGGATTCAAAGCACTATAAAGTCCTACTTGGTGTGGTTCCAAGAGGCTATAAGACACCACCTTACCAAGCATAGCTTTGCCTGTCCAGTGACAGCCTTCATTATATTTTTCAGAAGAGGATTATGGACTTTGAGGTAGACCTTTTCCATGATGGCTTCCTTCTTATGGAATATTTGGCCCTGATGTGTCTTTAAATTTCAACATTTAAGAAAGCAACAAAACCCATAAATTTTAAATACAGATTTATTGCCTTGTACTTTTCTTTGGACATCTTTATAGTGAAGGGAGTGGTCTTATTGTTATTTATGATTTGTACATACCTCAAGTCTTCTGAAAAGACAGGATTACAATGAAATATGTACATCTTTTGGATTAAAGAAGTTCAAAGAGACTGAGAATTATTGGCTTGTTGAAACTAATTTAAATCTTTCATCCTGTGCATACCTTTTGGGAAGAAAGACTAAATGACAGTGTTTATGTGTAACAAATCCTACCATCTTTTTTTTCCAACTCACAACCAATATTTCAATAGATGCTTTCATCACTTAGGAGTAGAGCTTTGCAATACATCACTTAGGAGTAGAGCTTTGCAATACAAGAATAACATAACTGAACACCATATAAAGATTTTGTATATACAAATTCATTTTAGCTAAATTCCACATACTATACTATTAGATTATAATTGAAGTTGAACTACTTCCAAGAATTATAATTGCCCTTCCTCCTTGTTTTAAAGCAGGTAATGAGAGACATCTGATTTAGGCACCACATTAGAAGCCAGGAGACTGAATTTTAATCCTGCTTAAGGCATGAAACCTGGCTGGATGTCTTTGGGTCAGTCACTCTCTCCCAGCCCACCTCACATCACTGGTTTGTTGTTTGTTGTAGGGAAACTAGGAGGAGGAAAGAATATTATGTTAAGTTATTTATAAAAATAATTAAGATGGGATACCAATAAATAAACAAAAAATAAGTTTAAAGAATGCAAATACATGCCCAACAAATACATTATTTACATGCCCAACAAAAATGTGGGGACATAAAGAACCTCTAATCCACTGATTTTTATTCTTTGAAGGTACAAATCAAATACTACTAATATATTGAGCAGTTATCCTAAAAACAGATACTATTCAATGGTGGCTCATTCTCAATTAGCAGAAGCAACTTATCTATGTCCTATGGAGAAGGGAAAAAATCAGCAAAGAACTGTTTTTGCCTTTTTATTATAAACTTGATCTAGTCTCTTCCATACTGAGAAGAGTATTCTCAGAACAACAGCTGCACTTTTGTTACAGTCTAAGTAAAGTTGAACTTACAGTGCGAACACATTTCCAGTGGGTAGCTTGCTTCGTTTCCCTGAAATAAGAAAAAAAGTGTTGTTTAGAAAAGCAGTTTAGCATAAAGGAACCAATGGAATACACCAAATATTTCCCTGAAATTATGTCGTTCTATTTTTAAACATTGTTACAATTATCACATTAACAAGTATGCATTATTGGCATACTGATTATATTTCCAGTATCAGCAATGAAAGTTTGCATTTATTAAGATAAATTACACACAACATGGATCAAAATGACACTTTCAATACATACAAAATTCTATATGGATTATTGAACAAAATATATAAATGCTAAATGTATGTATTCTGCTCCAATTTATTTCAGCATGTAATGCCTATTGGCAACAAAATTTTTAAAATGTGCATAGGGTTCTTAAATATTGGAAGTTAGTAGAAAACTATTAACAATAAAATGTAATTGAATCCTGGAAAAAATACAATAAAGGATTTATTTATTTTGCACAATGTATAATTAAACCCTGGAATTCGCTATTGTGAGATATGCTGGCTACAGCTTGTCTGATTCAAAAAAGGACTGAACCAATTCATGGGAGTCAATGGTTAGCAGCCTTGACAGCACTGGGATTGCCTCTGAAGTTCATCTTGCAAACCAGTGAGCCTCCTTATATAAATGGTTGGCAACTGTGAGAGGTCCAATCCAGCAGTGGAGCACTTATGTACTTAAGAATGAATAGACAAACCTGGATAGTATGGTAAAATAATTTTTGGAAACATTTCATTTAAGTCAACTACTAGACACATTTTGAGCAAGCACTTCTTTCCAAAACCAACCATGCTTCTTGAGTGTTAACTCAAGAACTTACAGAAGAGGTGTCAGCATTAAACTGACAAGTTACTTTGATCCTTCTTTAGAAATAAGACTATCAACTACAATTCTTATCTTTTGGAAATAGAATCTGCCTTTGTCCAATCACTATAAATATTAATTAAAACTTTTTTTTTTTAAAACTGTGAAGCCATTTAATTCTTCCAGTTTTTATCTACTAAGTCCATGTTACCTCCTTTTCTCCACCCACCTGTATACTGGCTCATACTCCCTCTTTCTAAACAAAGTAAATGATTAATTGTTGCTTACTTTTACCACAATACATCTGTTTCCTTGCAATTATATTTAAATTTCCTTTAAATTTCCTTTTTCCAATTCCAAACCAAAGATAGTATTTGCAATACAATAAAGACTGTAATACCTGTCTTGATATAAACTAAGAAAGATATCTATATCTTATTTATTCTCTAGTATATATTATTTCATGGACATCAACTGCGATTTTGAGAGTTCATCTATAGATAGTCCTCAGGATATGACCACAATTGAGATTGGTATTTCTCTTACAAGCCATTACAGCCATAAATTGAGCTGGCCTGATTTTTACAACAATTTTTCCAGAGGCCATTAAACAAATCACTATGGTTGTTGAGATGCTGCAATCAGTCCTAAATGTGACCTGGTTGTTAAGTGCCCAAATGTGATTGTGGGGATGGTGCAACAGTTTTAAGTGCAAGTACAGGCCACAGTAAGGCGTAGACATAAATATGACTATGGATAGATTCTTTGCATACTGTATATTAGCATATCTGAAAAATAATACTGTGTTTTACATTATTTTTCTTTTCTTTCTTGTCACACAGCATAGGCATTCCTCAATTTATGACCACAATTGAGCCCAAAATTTATGTTGTTGAGAAATTTGTTAAGTGAGTTCTGTCCTATTTTACGACATTCCTTGCCACATGTGTTGAGTGAATCACTGGTTATTAAATTAGTAACATGCCTGTTAAGTAAATCTGGCTTCCCCCATTGACTTTGCTTATCAGAAGGCCACAAAAGTGGATCACTGGACCGTGGGACAATGCAACAGTCATAAATATGAACCAGTTATCAAGCATCCAAATATAAATTACATGACTATGGGGGTGCTGCAATGGTCATAAGTGTGAAAAATGTTCATAAGTCACTTTTTTCAGTGAATTGTAACTTTGAACAGTCACTAAACTAACTGTTGTTTAGTTTATTTTCAATTTCATTGTACACGTTATGCATCGTTTGATTGGTTGATTGTAAGTCTAGGACTACCTGTATGATTTTTTAACATTTCAGTTGTAAAAAGGGTTTACACCACAAACAGGAGTGATGTTCACATTCTTTTCATTTCTTTCTTTTTACCGTTGTGTAAGCCACCTAAAGTAGCCCCAGAGAGACAGGAGGCAAATAAATTTAACCTAAAAACAAATATGTTTGCAACTATGTAAATCAAAAGTATGTCTTCCTGGAATCAGGCATTAACTGCAATGAGGAACAGCACAAATCCTAGGAAAAATCATGGCTGCTTTAAAGAGATGGAAACCAGTGTAATAGTTTCACACTTATAGATACCAGAGCTCAATAACTCAATAAACTCAGCTCTTCTGGTATGTCTGTCTGTAATTTTTTTAAAATAAAGTTTTATTTGGGTTTTCACACATACAAAATACAAGTAAAACATCTTTTTTGAAAATAGCATGGTCCCGGGTTGAATTTCTTTATACAGACACAAAACTCAATGTCATGCTCCTTTTTGTATTCTATTCCATATCTTATGCTATTTTACATTTTCTATATAGCTTTTCCGCTCTTTTAATTTTCTCAATTTTATTTTGATTATGTCATCTCAATTCAAATCATTATATTTATACTTTTGTCTGTTCTGTTTCAATTTCATATTATCTTTTCTCATTAAACAAATTTTCTCCTGTAGTTACAAATTGGAGTATGACACCTTTATATCTTTTAATTACATCCATTCAACTCTTATTTAAACTTCAATATATACCTTAAGGTTATGACCTTCAATATAATACATAATACATAACTTCCAATCGAATTCTGCTTGGCACATTCTTATAATATACACTATATTCTTTAAAAAAAAAAAAAAAAGAAAGATCGTAAATATATGTAATTATAAACCCTCATTCCATTCCAGTTCAGTTCTATCATTAATAGTTATTAAAATCTTAACATCTTTAACACTTTTCAATTAAATATCATACTTCCTTAAAAACACATATAATCTCCATAATTAATTTTTCCCTTATTTCTCTTCACGTTTTATAAATCATTAAATATACCTTTTGTTACATTTATTTATTGACAAGCATTCCACTGAATTACGATAGCTATTTTATCAGACATTTTAATCATACATTGTTGCATATTTTCTAAAATTATTTCTGCTTCTAATATAACCATACTATCTTATGTACCTTTGCAGAATCCCTTTTTCCATTAAGTTTTCACCCATTATCTCTAAATAGGCCCTGTTTCTCTATATTTTGCTTCTGTCCTTTATAACTTCTTTTCCTTTCTTTCTTCCCTCTCATCTTCTCCCTCCCCTTTTTACCCCCTTGTCTCTCTACTTCTAATTCTCTCTTCTGCATTTCCCTCTTCTGTTGCTTTCTGATTTTACACTTATTTTTCACTCTGGTTTTTTTTTTTTTGGAGTTGTTTTTCCCAATCTTAAACTTTCCATTCTCTTTCCCCCCTTTCCTCCCCCCCCCCATCTAAGATTACTTGTTCATTAAAGATGGCTTCTTCTTTGTCGCAATCTTCTTGTTCTGCAGGCATTTCTTGTTGTTTCTCATAATTCAAAATCTCCATTTCTAAGAACTGAAATACGAAGCCAAAAGAACCTCTCCCTTCTTGTGCATCTTCTTTGTACTTTTTAAGTTCCATTTTCAGTTCTAAAAGTGAAGCCATTTTAAACAGTTTTCAACAACCACCCGATTGATTTTAGTCATTCAAAACAATAACCAAGAATCCAGAAATCATCAAGTAATCCAGATAGTCCCAAGTTATATCTTCTTATTTCTTTTTCCACTTTCTCTTCCTGGGGTTTTTGTTGTGATATTTCAGTTAAAATTTATCTTTTGGAAGTCTTGTTGAGATTTTGCTGTAAGTTCTTTTTTTAATTCCAGGCCGTCTCCTCCCTTCCAGATCCTGCCCTTTTATTCTTTTTCTCCCCTTTCCTGTTTTCAAAAGCTTTTAATTATCCAGAAATCTTTATTATCCCTTTGACTTTTTATTTTCAGCATTAAATGCCTATTGATGTCAAAGTGGATTTTTTTCCAATTTCTTGCTTAAGTCTCTTAGCTGTCAGTATAGGAAAAGGAGAAAACCAAATCTTTTCCCTTTTCTCTCTCCTTCGCAGCTTAAAAATCTTCTTAGGGAACAATGTTATTGTTTTTTAACAGTTTTAATTCCAGGGTACCTTATTTGTTGCTTTTGCTGTTTGACCCGGTCAACCAAAACTTTCTCTTCTTATCTTCCTCCTGCACATTCTTTTCCGGTTGAGTTCTTCTTTGTGGTGGCCATTTCTGACCACCGCTGCAACCGCCTTCGGGAAAGGGAGTAATGGCCAGCTGGGGAGGAGAGATGCAGCTCTCCTCAACCCTGCTGGCAGTTTCCCCCCTCTTCACCACCTCTACGGGGTGGCTTAGCCCCGAAACCAGCCGGCTCGGGGCGCTCCAGCGGCGAGCACGGATCGAAGCCTCGCAGAGACGAGGTTTCGGTCTGTCGCTGAAGAAGCTCAAACCGGAAGTTCGGCTGTCTGTAATTTTGATGACCTTCATCCAATTACCTAAGATTACTTCATTACATTTCTAAAACCAGAACTTTAATTCTCATACTTTTTTTTCTGTCCAGTTAAATCAGTGGTTCCCAAACTTTTTCAGTCCACCGCCCCTTGGTGCTACAAACTCATCCTCGGTGCCTCCCACCCAGGGGTGGGATTCAAATTTCTATGGGCGTGGCCTAATTTGAGGGTGTGTCTTGCTGGTCATGTGACTGGGTGGGCATGGCTTGCTGGTCATGTGACTGGGTGGACGTGGCTTGCTGAGTGGGCGTGGCTTGGTGGTCACATGACTAGGTAGGCACGGTTTGGTGGTCATGTGACTGGGTGGGCATGGCCAGGTGACTGGCAAACCAAATACAAGTGGTCCTCACTTAATGGCTGGT